GGCGGTGTAGGAGGGGGCGGCGGGGGAAGGCAGCCTCCCGGACCCACCTCCCCTGCCGCCGCCTCTGCCCTCCGCCTCTCCAAGCCCCGACCGACGGGGCCGCAGCCCGGGTGGGCTCTGCCTCTCCACAGAGCAGGAGGCCGGGGTGCGGGAGCGATGCTCCCCACGGATGAGCACCTACTGCGGTAGGTGAGCGCCCTGCCGGCGGGGCTCCCTTCTCCCCAGCAGGACCCACAGTCCCCGCGCAGTGTCTCGGGGGTTGCAGGTGTGGGTTTTGGATATGGAAAGTCAAAAACCACCTCCCAAACCCCAGTGACCTGGACACGCAGCAGCACACTCTCAGCCACTGTAGGTTCCACAGGCATTGCTGAGGTGATTTTGCGTCAGCTTTGTGCTGCCTGTCGGGTACCTGGCAGGACACTGGGCTCCTGCTGGGGTTTCCCAGGCTCCATGACCAGGCCTATGCCAGGACCTGCCCAGAGTGGGCAGGACCAGGGACGGGGGGGGAAGACATCTGGCCCTTGCCCCTTGCAGAGGTGCTGGGTGATTCCCTCCCGCAGGGTTTCACCCCGTTTTTTGTGGGGTTTCTCCTTCTTCTAATCTCCCTTTCCTCCCAGGTGGCTGCGTGCTGCAATTGGTACCAAAAAGGGCCCTGAGTTGCAAGATCCCAGGGTGTGCACCTTCCCACTGCAAGATGTCATCCCTGCTCATGCAGGGAGATGGAGAAATCTTTAGTCCAGGGCGAAACCCCATGGCAGGCAGGGCATGAGCAGGATGGGTTACTGCAGAGCCCCCCCCTTGGGTAGCTCATTCCCTGCCAGTGTCCAGCCTGGGTGGCACTGCACATGCAGGCGCAGAGGGAAGGGACGGGGCGGGTTGTACTGCCCTGCAGAGGGCTCGGGGACTTGCACCCACGGGTTCCTCTCGGAGCAAGGCAGCATAGGGCTTCCTGGGGCACAGCATAGCACAAGCCAAACTGCACACAGACACAAGTAGGAGCGGAGAACAAACACAGCCAGGTCTGACTCCCGGAGGTTTAGATGCCATTCGAGTGGTTATGGTGTGCTATAAAAATTAATTAACATAGCTCCATGTGACCTTCTGTAAAACATTGCCTTCATCCCAAAGAAAGAATATACCAGGAATCACCTGAAGCAGCCTCAGACAGAGAGACCATGGCTCCAGACACGGTCGCTGACTGCACTTGACCAGAGGTGAAGCCATCCTTCCAGTCCTTATTTCTTATCTGGCCTGAGTGAAGTGCTCTGAAATAGAGAGCTCGAGAAAGGATCACTGGCTGCCCTGGGGGAATGAGGGTGTTCAGAGCATAGGACCTCAGGCACTGTAATTCCTCCCTACCAAAAGTTTCAATTTGGAACTTCCCCTTACTTTTTTCACTCAGGACATAAACAATAAGACAGCAAACACAAGCACACAGCACTACCGAGGGAAATCCAGAACTGATCCAGGCTCTCCCAACTCCCAAGACTCCTTTCGTAGTCAGCCCAGGGCAGCTTTGTCGCCAAACTCGAGTTTGAACATTTATGTACTTTGCATTAAATGTATTGGGCTAATTCTCCTACCTACAATCTCATTCTCCATCCTAACCTCCGTTTGCAAGACAAAAGTACTGAATACACCAGGGACAGCCAATACCCACACGGGGCTTAGGGAGAAGGTAGGAATGCAGCCTTCTGAAACTTGCTTGAGACAGCCCCTTAGCTTAAATAGCCTGATTCTTTTGTTATCAGTCTTTTTTTTTTACTTTCTCTGTGTTGTTCCAAACCTCTGTTATTTGTAAGGCAGAACTGATGCTCTATTGCTTTGGGAAACAGTTTCAGGCAGGCAGTTTAATGTGGTTTTTTTGATGCAGCATCAGTAGCATAAAAGTAGTGCCAGAGTTAATCAGATTTACAGGAATAAGCCTTTGAGCTCCAATTGCACAGAAAAATTTGAGTTACGCTTAGAAATTAAGTGTTGCCAGATAATCTGGAATCCTCTGGCTACCCCGTGTCCAGGTATCACAGCACAGGAAAAGGGAAAGGGGCTTGTGGAGGAGACATGCTTACATCAGAGATTTTGGAGAAACGAAGACAGACAAAAAAAAGGTGAGATTTTTAAATTCTCATCATTAGTTAAATTGTAGGCATGTCCAGAAATAAAAATATTCCTTTTTCTAGAAGCCTGATGACACAGAGCCCCGGAGAAGAAAAAGGCTTGGGACGCCGCTGCCACTATATTGCGGATAATCTTTAGAGGCTTTCATCCCCCAAGAGGTTAAAGGCAATTACTGCATTAAAAAAGTCCCCACCTCGCGGAGAGATGGCGGG